CGGGCTGACAGGAGGGGAAGGGGGGGGGGGGCGCGAGCCGGGCGCGCGCGTCTCGGCGGGGGCGCGGCGGGGGCAGGCGCGCCCCCTGGCGGCCGGTGCCGCTCCCGCCCCTTCGGCCGTGCGGACCCCGCTGCTCCCGGGGCACCGCCGGACCCGGCCGGTAGCGATGCCGAGGGGGCCGTGCCAGGCCCCCGTTGGCGGCGGAGAGCCGGCGGCTCCCCCGCTGCAGGGCCCGCGGCAGCGCGCAGGCTGCGAGTCCCGCACGGCCCCGCCGGTGACTCATCCCGGCGCCGTGCCCGCCCGCCGGGTATAAATATCTCATTCATCGCCGTAGTAACTGAGGGGCTCACGCTGCGCTCCCGCCGGCGGCTCCGGCGCTGCCGAAACTTGGAAGAGCTTTTTTCGGATACTCAGACCCAAACAGGCACGTTGAGACAGAAAGTGAATGGAAGTTCGTTAATAAAAGCTGTGTTTTGTCATAATTTAATGTTGCAGTGAGATGGTTTGAAGCTGCGAAGGGCTGGGGATATTTGTGTGGATAACGCGTGCAGCTTTTGTTTTTCTTCTTAGAAGAGAAATCACACCGTTTGCCTAGAATGCTCACTTAAGTGCGTTTCTGTCAAAGGTCAGCTACAACCACTGTCCACATAAAGAACAATTATGTTTTCCAGTATTTCCATCCCTTAAGTGCCAGCAGAGGATCAGTAGTGGCTGCAGTATTGATTCCTTTCCAGTAGGAACTGACACGTTTGAACTGAGTAGTTCTTAGTTTATTATAAACAATCTCTTAGTCATACTCAGTTGGAAAAGTACTCCGGAGAATTTATCTCCCAAGTTGATCACTACTGGGTGCTTTGGATAGTCCTGCCTGTTATGGGAAGTGTTTTCAGAGACAAACTGCTGCAAGGTTAAACTAGTCCACACATGCAAGTTTCACCCGAAATCCCCACACAAGCCTCCTGCTAAGGCTGCAGAGTGCCTGAATATTTTCCATCCTGTTGATGTGGGGTGTGGTTTTGTAGACCTGCAGCTCCTTGAAATTCGGTGGGTTTGATCCAGAGCACCGTGCAAACCCAAGGCTGTAGACGCAGCTGAGCTCAGAGCTCAGCTAAGAGCCTGTTGCCGAGTCTGATGTCAGGAAGACGACCCAAACCGTGAGCATATCGATGTCAGGCGGCCCCAAAAACGATCTGAGCCGCAGTGCTGCTGTCGTGTTGCTTCTGTGCTTGCCCGTGCTGGGCTGAGCGCTCGCTGGCCAAGGCTGTGCGTGTGTTGCAATAATTCAGCAGCAGCAGGAGGTGTTCTGCCACAGCAGAAACTGAGCCACCACCATCGCGGGGTGGTTGGGTTTGTGGCTGGTGAGTGAGGCCTGGTGACCCTGGCTCTAGGTGGGGAATGCATCCAGCTCTGGAGTGGCTGGAGTGGAAACTGAGGGCCGTGGTGCTGCTGTTTGGAAATCTGATGTCTCTGAAATCCATAGGTGACATTGCCTGCTGTTTCGTTTATAAAAACCAGCTGGACTGCTCTGGGCAGTAGAGCAGTGATGTTGCATTTTGGGGTTTGAATGATGCACGGTGAACACATCTTGATGCACAGTAGGGTTTTACAGATAGGGGCTGAAACACAGCCTGGCCTCATGGCTGGGGATTATATTCGCTGTATTCATTGGTAGGCTGGTGCTGCCCATTATCCAATTTATAACTCTGCCGTGGATTAGGACGTGACAGATGGGGAAATGTCAGTCCTGCTGCAACTCCTGCTCTCAGGTCGCTTGAGCAGCTCAGCCCACATGAAACAAGTGACAGCAGGGCCGGAGGAGTGACAAGCTAAGTAAGCTTCAACAGGTATAGCCTTCTATCCCCCAAGGGTGGGAAAGGTGATGTTCTTTTTGTAGGGAGTAATTGGTAATAATGCTGATCTCTGAAGCTTTTTAAGGACACTATTCCTGCAGAGAACCTATTAAACCAGAAGCAACCCTCTTGCCCTGGCTTTGAGACTTAGAGAGTCTGTGTAACACCTTATTTCCTCTGCTCCATTGCATGCATCTCCTGTACAAGCTTGTTTAAGAAAACACTTTCTGGACTCTCTTCCATTTTGCTCCTTTAGCGGAGAGCTCTCTTTCCTCTGATGTGCTCTCTCAAGCTGTGTGTCCTTTTTCAATCCTGCTCATTCCTGAAAAATGGCCTTTTGTGAGATATTTACAGTATCTGAGTCAATATTTCTGTGTTTCTTTTTGTAAACAAAACCAGTCATTCGCAATCCAGAACGAGTCATTCAGTTACTGTGCTGTGAGTTTCTCTCAAAGGAAGACCAGGGATTCTGAAGTGCACTTCCATTCGTGATATTCTTTTATGTGAATTTGAAGATCTTTTCCATTCAAGTTTTTAAGTCTCCCTTTTCATGTCAGTATAAAACTGCCTCTCAGAATATATCCACAAGGTAATTTTTTTTATAATTCTTTCCCCAGGGAAACATTAGCCACTATTTAAATAAGTAGTGGTCTGATTCTCTCTCTCTCTCTCTCTGGGTTTTTTTTTTCCCCTCCTCCCCTCAGAAGTGCTGAGCCAAGCAGACTGTAATTTTAGTGAACTGGGCCTCCCTGTTGCACTGTGCTGCTTTTGATATCATGCTTGTTTTGAGCAACTTTTTAAATTTCGTTTTCTGCATTGATTTGAATTATATTTTGAAGAATAATCTGTTATATATCCAGACTTGTTCTTTGGTCCACATCACAGTTTCTGGATGTCTCTGGACCATCTGTCAGGCTGATTTTTTTAAGGAGAGATCAGTTCAGGTTGTCTGGAAGGGCTCCCATTCACTGTGTAGGCATTGCGAGAAGCATTTTGATTTCAGGGCTGTGGATCTCTACTGAACAAACCAGAACTGGAACAGGCTGGGGAGCTTTTGCTCTTTGGTGAATGGCACCTTTCCCACCTGGTGATGTGAACATGTGATGTGGTGATTGCGTGTGGGGGTCTGAAGAGCAAATCTATTGTTAAAGGATCCTAAAGTCTTCAGAGCAGTTATTTTTTTTTCCATTTCCTCTTGCTCTATGAAAATCTCAGTTATGGAAGAAGCTCAAGGGTAGCTGTATTGTGCAAAAGCTGTGGTCGCTTCTCTGCTGTGATTTCTTAGGTTTCTGAAGCAGGATGTGTTACCTGTGGAGCACCTTGAGATGGAAGAGGCAGCACAGATGAAGTGTTGACTCCAAGTTTATTGTTTCCTTTGTATACAATTCCTTACTTTGGTTCAAACTGTAGCAAAGACACAACTGAACCGTTCTGGTAAAGGTTTTCAGGCATTTTCAAATACATGGAGCAAGAGGCAGGGCTGCCATAGTATGGTCTTCATGAGAGAGCCCTTTTCTGATTTCAGTACTGAATGAGTTTCAGAAACTAGAGTTTCTAAAGAGAATAGTCAGCCAATTTTACACCAATTCTTTTCCTTTTGCAGCTTTTAGTTTGGTGGTAAATTTTTCTCTGCCAAGCTACCTACTCCCACAGCAACTGTGCCACAGTACAGTTGAATTTCTATTTATCCACAGTAGCCAGTGGACAACTGCTGTTAGTCTGAATTCCTTCTCAGGGAGGAGGGATTAGAAGTTAGCCCAGACATCTTGAATAGCTACACAGGCAAGTGCTTTTCCTTTCCTTTCTTGGTTTATTATTAATATTTTTAATCTTGAGGCTTCATTTGCAGATTGTTCTTTGGTTTTGGAACATGAGATTTTCTTTTAGTCCCAAGGCATTTCCAGTGCAATCCATAGCTCTCTTGAGATGGTCCAATTTCTCTTTCCTGTATATAGCATTTTGCTTATTCTAACTGCTTTAAACTTGGAACTTGATGAAATTTTTTCTTCTAGATGTAACTGCAGCCTCACATTCCTAAATTATCTGACTCAGTGCCTATTCAGTAGCTGTTCTGTAGCACAAACTTTCTTGTCTGCCTTTCATTTAGACATCCATTCTGGTGGCCAAGAATGGGCTACTGCTTATTTGGAATGACTCTTTGAAGTCCTAGACAACTTAACTTGAAGGGTTTGTTAGAAACTCCTGGATAATATTATTTATCCATCAAGTTGACAGCGTGTTGGAAGTAGTTATGCAGACTTTGCCAAATAAGAAGAGCTAAAACATCCTTTTAATCTGTTGCATGGCTTTTTCCCCACTTCCATATTGTTGTTTGAGATTTTACTTTTTACCATGTTGTTTTTAATTTCTCTCTACCTTAGTTTTTCCTGCAGGTGGATATTTGAATATCTTATTTGAATAGTTGAAAAAAGCAACAAAACAATTAGAGTGAAACAGGGAGGAGTTCTTTGGCCAGATGTTGCTGTTAGGTGTGGATTTTTGGTTTATACTTAATAGTATCTGGGTGAGAAATCCAGGACAAACAACCATCTGTTCTTCCAATCCCTACAACGAATGTTGAATTTACTCTGTTGACCATATGTTTTCCATTGCTGAACAATAAAATTAATTTGAGGCAATTGTGGTCACTTTTTCTGCATTACAATTTTTGAGTAGTGAATCTGAGAAGGCAGAGAAAATATTCATGAGAGGCTTTGGGAAATCTCTCAGAATCTCTCTTTTTACCACATGTTGTGGTTAAGGAAGCATTCAGAATCCCTCAAAACGTGAACACGAGGTTTTTTTTGTGTGTGCTTGAGATGGGAGGTGTTGGGAGGAGGACATGTGGTGAGGAATTGCTTATTTTCCTTCCCTGGGAGTGTGAGCATGCCAGGCAGGAGTGAGAAATGCCACTGCTGGGAGCTGCACTGGGGCACACTTGGGTTTACTCAGCGTGGTTCTTATTAAAATAAGAATGCATAGGATATCAGGGCAAAAACCTGGATATTGCTTGAGGATTGTTACATAATTCCTCATTACGTGTGGGTTCGTGACCTGTTGCAGCTTTATAAACCAACAAACCAAGCACTTGCCTCTTCCCTGACAGCCTCGCCGGGCTCCCCAGAGCGACGTGCCCCAGCCAGCACAGCCACCCCGATGGCGTCCGCTACTGCCGTGCCTGTAGGATTTCACTATGAAACCAAGTACGTAGTGCTCAGCTACTTGGGCCTTTTAGCACAGGAGAAGCCACAGGAGCATCCTCCTCCTCCTCCTCCTCCAACTCAAGGTAATATTTGCATATTCATCTCCAGCCATTTGCATGTGCGGCTGAATTCGCAATTAGTTCATCGGGTGTTTCTGCAGGGATGCAGAATGGGAGCCTGATGTGTGATGAATCTCTCGGTTTGTTCAGTGAAAAATGAATCAGTTTTAATTGAAAGATGAGAGATGCTGATGGAAACAAAGCTGTTTGTATGTAGATTACTGTGTTAATTTGAGCTGTGCCAGGGCTGACTGGTGTTTAGGGAGCAAGTCAATGGTTTTAGTTGCTTTCTTGAGCCTAGGGGGGATGGATATGTGTTACCTTTGTTGAGCCATCATGAGAATTTCAGCCCCTTTTGGGGCACTGGTGGAAGTAAGCAGGGGTGAGGTGGTGTTTACTGGCATCAACTGAGTGGTGTCTTGAGCAATCTCCTGTGCTAAATAGTTTTGCCCTATTACATTGAGGCTCCTGTTGTTGTCAGTCAGTGCTGGTGCAGAGATGTGGCCTATGCTACTTCTGTTTATTTATTTATTTATTGATGAGAAGCCAAGGACTTCACGGAGTCAGATGTTTCTTCCAGGACAGGTTTATGGATAAAAGAGGTTAAATAAATAAATAGAAGGCAGAATAAAAGAAGTTTGGTAGATTGTGGTTCACATAAACCTAGGGGGTAAAACTGTTCTTTATTTTGTGGTGGCAAGCACTTAAGTAATGTTGTTTGTTAAGATTGCCTGAGTGACTTGTCACTTCTTAATGATGTTTTAGTCACTACTAGTTCTGTGATTCAGGACATATTCTGATGAAAGGAGGATAAAAACACCCCAAACCAAATAGAGACAGTCTTCAGAATCTCTTTTTTTTTTCTCTTTGAACAATCATTTAAGAATGCATATTTACTGAACTTACCTGTCATGAAGTGAGAAATTCCTGAAAAGAAAAGATTACATCAAAGTTATGACAGAACTGCTTTTCAGTTTGGCACTAAAGCACATAGCACATGCTGGTTATATTGTATATGATCCATTAAATTCATGTTAGTATATTTATTCATGAAATTAACTTTAGTATATTTAAGGCATGTTTGCTACTTCCACTTTGACTGCATTTGTGGTTCATGAAAGGAGAGGCACCTTAGCTGTTTCATAAAACTCTTTGTTGAAAAATGTGCTTATTTTAGCAATAACATCTCATTGTATTGAGTACATATAAAGGTTCAATGTGTGACAGTCTGTTTTGTTCTATAAATAGAAGATTCAGAAAAGAAAATGTTAGTCTTAAAGCTTTTTAAAAATTATTTGGCTGTAGTTACCTTTGAAGTGTTTGCAAATTGAGGTGAAACCTTTCCATTTCAGAATCAGTTGACTCTCATTACTGAAAGCTCTAAACATCTAGTCTGAATTACAGAAGTATATTTAAACTTTCTAAAGGGGAAGCTGCAAATACTTAAATGACAATTTTGTAGTCACTTTAGAGGACTATTCAGATATTGTTTTGATGTGTTAGCTTGTGTGACAGCAGTTTGTAGTTAGATTTGCTACTTAAATACTCTAAAGCATTCATGCTTTATGACTTCTAAAAAGGAAATCTGCCTACGTTTTCCCCACCTCATTCCCCAAACCAGACAGTGACCACAATGTCTCCTCTCCTGGTCATGTTTCATTTTAATTAGGTCTCCCTTTCAGTGTTTTTGCTGCTTTCAGATCAAAGCTTCTGGATTAAATAATTTTACCTCACTTTTAATTTGCCAACTTGTTTCTCATTCTGTTTTGTAATGCTTTGAATGGACTTCAGGCTGTATTGAACTAAGCAAACACCTTATCTTTTATTTATCTGCTTCAGGATTTGTTTCATTCTTTCCTAACTCACTTTTGCTGCTGATGGTTTTCTGCTTCTGAGAGGTTTCTTTTGTCTGCTAGCTACATTTTAAAAATCCTTTCTCCTACTTTTTCTCACCTTGCTTGTAATTAAGCAGTGTTGAGCTGCACTCCTGGGCTGTGTGTGGTTATTTCAGAGTGCTGTGTGTATCTCCATTGACTATTGAGCATTAATACACCCAGTGTGTCTCCTTGATGTTTGGCTGATGCCTGCTTGCTGTAATCTGCAATCCCCGAGGAGGGGAGCACAGTCCATAATGGATATTTCCTGCCCTGCCTAATGCACTGCTGGGAGGTTTAGCTGAGTGTTATGGTCCTGTGCATGAGCTGAAAAACCTGGTTAGAGCAAGAGAGATGGGAAAGCTGGCAAATGGAAATGAGGAGGAGACTTGTGGGTTTGGTGAGAGACACAGCAGGGCTAACAACAGCACAGCATTGCTTCCTGCTTGGCAGTGTGTTTTCCAAGCACCATCACCAGTTGTTGATACAACACTTGGAGTAATCCCAGATTCCTTCCATTGTGGATTTCTGTGGCACTTCAGAGTGCTGGTCAGGAGTCTTTCTACTCTATGGCTGAACATCATTGATTTGTGAATCGAGAGGATTCCAATAAAAAACACCTGTCCTTAATCTTATTTTCTTTGATTTGGTTATTGTGCAGGCAGACCTTGCATGGGAAGCAGTGAAGCAGCAATTTTGCCTGTTTCCAGTTGCAGAATACTCCTGTATCTTGTGTTTCATTCATATGAGGCCTTGACTCTGGTTTGCAGTACTTTCCCTTCATTTATTTTTCTCAGATCCAAATAAGACTGTACTCCTGGTCTGTTTTCTGAGCCATACTCAGTGTAATGGGAGTATCCAGGAAGACAAGTTGTAACTTGCCCTGGTGGAGCTAAATTAATCTCCTTGTGTGCCTGAGTGGGAGAGTGAAGGACTCCTCTAGAGGGCAGTTCAGCTCAGGATCCCAGTTCCAGCCACCTTGTGTTACCCACTGGAGGATCTTCTGCCTTTCCATTGCATGTATACAGAACATGGGAGGTGAGGAAAAAAAGTGCACTGGGTGTTGTTAGGATTTCTGTATTTCCCTTGAGTCTCCTCGTACAGCAGTCTCCCAGATTTCAGTGAAGTTTCATCACTCCAGTTAAACTAGATGGGGTACCTGGTGTGTGAAAAACACCCAACCAAGAAAGTGATCCTTCCCAGCAGGAGTGATATTATTTTATCTCTGGTAGAAGAGATTGAATGCTTTTATTTGTTCCCTGTCCTTCTCTCCTCCCATCATCTGCCTCTCTTTTCCTGCACGTTGTACTATTATTTTTTCTGGTGTACGTCTTTCTGTTTCAAAAACTGAGATAAGAATAAAACTTTAAGATAAGTTGAGTTAGTAAAACTTCTCATTTTTTTCAGGCCTAATGTGCTTTGCAAGACATGGCTTTTGGAGGGTTTTATTCAGTGAATAGAAAATTCAGAGAAATTATGTAGAAAATTTTGTTGCTGTGTTTCCTTTTGGGGCTCTTGGTTGGTCTTGGTTTTTTTGCAAGAAGAATGGCTTCAATTACAAGCACTGAAATCACTTCTGGCTTCAAGCAAATAAGGTTGATTTAAATCAACACCTGATGGGCACTTGGAAATTTTTATTTTGCTATCTTCATTTCAGCACAGGGACCGAAGAGAGAGCTATCCACACTATTCCAGACTCTTGAAGAAAAGACAATTTTACTGGACAAGCCAATCTTTTAACATTATAGCTCTAGAATATTCTGTAGTGGATTTCGGTGTCTCCAGAGGTAAATCCAGCAAATCTAACTGCCCAGTGCTTTGAGAGATTTTTCCTATTAGTTTTGCCAGAATAGTGATTCTGCATAACAGTCACTGCAGTTTATTTAAAGCAAAATCCATTAGCAGTAAATTCTGGTACTTTTTGGAAGGTTTTCAGGTAGGTGAACAAATAAGATAAATTGATAAAACACATAGAGTAACATCACCTCTGTAAGTCGATGTGGTTTGAGGCAACAGATGAGTACAGGTATTTAAAATGTGTGGAAGCTCTCAGTTATCTGTTCTTTAGATTGAGGAGTGATGCTTTGCATTCTTTCAGAACTCTTCTCATACCTAGAAGTGCTGGTTCAGACACAGAAAATAATTATTAAATATTGGAAATCATCTTTATACCTTTTCCCCTGAGGCCACTCTATTTACAGAAGTTTCTACTCTGCTGCAGTTGTTAGTATTACTAACTTTACAAGTGAGTCAAAGTACTTTGGGTTTTGTGATTCAATGTATTTGTATTTTGTTTCTTTGTATTTTATCAAGGAGTGACTTTTAATGTATTTCTTTTCTTTTATCTACTCTCCCATTGCTTGACACCATCCCATGAACTTGTGGCTACAATAAACACTGTGAAGAAAAGTGGCTTTTCTGTGTTTTACTTGAGGTGAAGTTTGAAAAATCTTAAATAATCCCTAAATTTACAGAGCACCTCAAAGATTTCTAGTCAGTGCTACTACTACATGGTGACATAGATTAGTCAAGAGGTGCACAAGGTTTTGACAGTTTTACAGTTTCCCTGAGGTGCATGCTATCCACAGTACTTTAATCCAATTATCATGCACAATGTCCTTTTGACTATTTATTATCTTTTTAGAATTACCATTTGAGGTGCTGTATGTAGTTAGTGATCAAGCCATTTTCCTGGTTTCCCACACACATGGTACCTACTGTTGGCCTGTAAGAAACGGAGTTTTTGAGATTATTTTATCTTAGATGATGAATGTACTTGTTAGGGACCTTCCTCTTAGGGAAAGCATACCTGTTTGGGTAAAGATTCACATTGGAGGTCAGAGCAGTAATGGTAATAAGGGAGCTATTCCCTGAAATGAGGCAAGGAACATGAGCTTTTTGAGGTGTGAATTCCCACTTGATTAAGCCTCATCTTTACCAAAAAAAAAAAAAAAAAAAAGCATTAGTTGGCAGTATCTTGTCTCTTTTTAATATGTTAGACTTTTTCAGTTTCTTTTAAGCTGAGCCTTCTTATGTTTTATAAAGAGCTTCTTGCAAACATTTCTGAAATCGAGGGCTCCATCAATGTGTGGCAGTCCCTGGTCTGGAGTTTGCTGGTGTAATGGATGTACTTTTCATTAAGGAAACAGATAAATACATTTGTAAAGAGATTTTATATATCTTTGTCATTTTTCAGTGCTTACAGTAATTTTAGAGTCTTACTTAATGTTTTAAAAAGCCTGAGATGTTAAAGAAATATTACAGTCATGCTGAAAGTAAATATTTAAGTCAACTGTACAGAAGTTAATATAGACACCTAGGAGAACTTGAAAACAAAGATACTACTAAATTAAAATTACAGACATGAAAGAAAAAAGTCAGGAGCAATCTGTGACATCAGTGGCTTTCTTTTCTAATCATGCTTCATTCCCTTGAATTAAAAAGACATAACGTCTTTTCAGTCTCTCCTTATAGTTGCTGTTGTCCCCCTTAGCTGAAGTTTTGGCTCAAGCACTGTAGACTGAGATGTGCAGACTCTGTAGCTCTGATGAATGACTTCCCATCCCTCCTCCTCCTGGGATCAAACCTGGCAAACGGGTTAGTCTTGTATTGTTGCTGAGCTTCTGGAGTTTTACTGAAGTATTACATTTATTTATTAGTCTGATGTTCCCTGATGCAGTGCTTGATGGACTTCCAGAACACATTTTCCTCTACTTTTTAGGTTACTTCCAAATAGCTGAAACCCAAAATCTTAACAGGAACATAACTGTGCCAAAGTGAACATTTATTCCATAAATAGAGAGTAGAATGCACTAACTTGGTTGTGTAAGAACGTGTAACAGAGGTTTGCTGTGCCTCTGGGTTGGGAAGAAGCCTCACAGAGTTGGTTTAGCAAAAGCCCACAAGAGGCAAACCTATTTCTTGAGCACAGGAAAGCATTCAGTGCTTGTGGCCCTTGCAAACACCATTTCTGGTGTGACCAGAAATGCATCTTTGATAATGAAAATGTATTCTCATCTAAAATAAGCTGGTTTTACTGTTTTCTTTTACTTGTTTGTGACTTGGAAGTTGGCTAATTGAGAAAAAAGATATTTCTTACTTAGGACCTTTGCTGTTGATGTTCTCCAGTGCTGTGTGCAGTGTTTGTTGGTAGCAGTCAACATCTAGGAGATGCAGAAAGCTGAAATCCATTCTTTATTCGGGGAATAAACAGTGCAAAGTCACTGCTCTGGATGGGGTAGGGTTTGATGTTTTGGCATGACTGAACAGTCAGGTGCTGTTGGAATCAGCAGCTGCTGCAAAGTTGTGGGTGTTACGAGATGGAAACCATTGACTGCAGTGCTGATTATCTAAACAGCTCTTTTGTTTAGATAACTGACTAGCAGCAGTGGAATTTCTCTTCCTTCCATTTTCTGGGTGACTTCTTATCAAGTATGACAGCTTGTCACGGGTGATCATCGTCACATTAGTCCTGCGAGAATGGGTCTGTCCCTCTGTCCCTTCCCTACAAGGGGAAAGCACAGGTTCACACAGGGGTTGGCATTGCACACACTTGTTGTACTTGACTCCAGAGCAGTGGTTCAGTTCTTCAAAGAAGCAACTGACAGGGACTGACAGGGCATTAACCAAAAGGTGGAACAGTTTGCTCCTCTCTGGAATTTATTACTCAGAGTGGCAAAGAGATGCTACTTGGAAAGGGATTTAAGAAGCTAAGTAAAGTTACTCTGAATATGTGTGGTTAAAGTCAAAGGGAATTAAACAGGCTGTCATTTGTTCCTTTAGACTAGTCACAGAAATACATGAAAACAGTTTATACTGACTGCATACATTGGTTTAGAGGGATTCTTGTGCTGAGTTTTTAAGCATTAACACATGTTCAATGGGTTGATACTGTGGATTTTTAACATATTTTTAAATTGTAGGAGACATCGAAAGCTTATTGTCTAGTGGGTTTTTAAATACAGAAAATGCACACACATCTGTGTGTGTTAACTGCTTTTATGGTTTTCACACACCCTTTTATTAAGTTTAGTGATTATATGTGTCCATTGTGGAAGAACAGGGAAGGCAAGACAACACTTAAAGTGGGTTCCAGCAGAGAAACAAACCAAAGAAAACACACCACAAAGCTGTCATTCACAAGACTATCGAATTATGATTTAGCTGCCTTCAAAACAGGAATGAAAGAAGATGTGCCAGAAAGCTCCACTGGCTGTTACAGGACTTACTTGAAGATCTGGATGTGAAGTGAAAGTGATGAGGAGGAAATTGTGCCAGATAATACCAACATTAGAGATACAAATCTTTTCCCTTTGTGTTTTCTTCAATTAAGTGAAGAATGTCTAGAGCAGAACATTGTCTGGATGTCTAGGTAGAACTGTAGCCCTTGGTGTAGGTGCAGAAATTCAAATGTCCTGAAGACCTGGGTTGGTTTGGAAACAGTTTTGTGTCTCTTGGTACAGCATAATGATTAAAATGATTGAGAGTCTATGTAACCCTGACTGATAAGGCTGAAACAACTTTTTGTTACCAATATCTAGAGTCAGCACATAGCAAATGTATTTGTGATCCCAAACTATGGCAGGTGAATTTCTGGGGATATGTAGCCATTTCAAATTCCTAAATTTCTGGGTTAGGAGAGGAAAATTGACAACTGATGGAGAATTGTGAGGTCCTTTGCCTCTCATCTTACTTCTGACCACAGTATTAAACTGTGGCCTGTAGACTCCTCATGGCCAGGGAAATGATGCACAGTTGACAGGTTTCAGGATTCTTCACTGATGTCATTGCTTAGTTGCTCTGAGAATGTTGTAGATTTTGCTGGCATCAATATAAATTTTATATTTTTCTACTAAAAATCAAGCTTATGCCAGTTTGCTTTGTTTTGGTGTCGTTTGATAAGTGTATTAAGTATAGTGGCTGATTGTTAATGTGCCTTGGTTTGATTTTGGTCTTAAATTGAAGATGTTGCTTTTAAAGTTCCTATGTATTCTGTTTGTAGCCTTACAATTGTTTTGTTTTGGGGTTTTGTTTGTTTGGTTTTTAAAAAAAGTTTTATTTAAAGCACCAGCTCTACCTTGAATAGACCTGGAAGTTTATCTGTTTCTGGGTTTGTGTAATTAAAACTTTTGTAATAAGTCCTCTGGAGGGATCATACTTGTTGCTGTCTGAAATCGAATTTTCACCTCAAATTCCTTTATACCTAATAGCTCAATACCACGTTCCATTGTCTACCTTGTTGGAAACATGAAATTAGAACATTTGAGTTATTTCTCTGGTTTCTTTCAGGGACTCAACAACAACTTATGGCACAACCTGCTCTGGAGAAAGAGGCTTTGGAGAAGATTAAAATAGAAATCGAGGAGGAGCTAAAACATCTTGATGAAGAAATCTTGGAAGGTGCTCTTCAGGTTTTCCCGTTTCAATCCATAATCTCTATGCACTGTAATGGTGGTTAATTTGTAACAGGTACTCCAGTTAAAGAGATTTTCGAATATGTTGAATCTCTTTATCCTCCTCCCCCCCAAGATTTGTACACATTGTCACATGGAGTAAAATAGTTAAAGGTTACCATTTGGAGTGGTGGAGCCTGGCCAAAGCAAACAACTGGATGACATTTAATAGGCTGCTGTAAATAATGAAAAGTAAGCAGCCCTTAAGCTGCTGCACTCGATTGCAGAAGTCCTCAGGAGCTAGTATTTCAAGGAGTGTGGACTTAAACTGTCAGATTTCTCTCTTCCACCACATTTATTTTTTGTGATGTGCTTTGACCTGTAGATATGGCTTTTATAGGAATCCCAGCAAGGAATGATTTCAAACCTATCTTTGCTTGGCATGTGTGTTGCAAGTCAGAAATCTGAAATAGAAACACTCTAGAGCTGTTTAAGTTCATTCATATGGAGTTTTCATAGAAGTTTTAGACTGAGAGGGAAAAGGTTATATGAATAAAATAATATTAAAAAAACCAATACTCTACTAATGCTGCAGAGATATCTATGTGTGGGCAAGTGTACTATGAAAAGAGGCTCTTCTGCTGCTCCATCTGGGTTGGCATCAGCTTAAAATGGGAGACTAGCTGCACATTCAGCAAACTTGCTGGTTAGGATGCAATTGTGAAACAAGAGCTGGTGGGGAAATGTAGCTCAATCTCTGCTTGCCTTGGAAGTAGCACTTTCAGAATGTATTTGGACATTTTTTTACTATGATTTGTTCGTTGCATGCTATGACTACAGAGCTGTGTTTTTTTTCATCCCTCATGTAAACTCTGTAAACTGCTGGGATAAGAAATCTGAGACTGTTGATGTTCTTCTGTGAATCTGTTTTATTTTGTGTACCTTCTTCTCTCAGCATTTACCACTACAGGATTTGACTGCCACACTTCCCCAGTGTTCAGCCCTGCCAATCCAGAGAGCTCAATAGAAGACTGCCTGGCTCATCTGGGGGAGAAAGTGTCCCAGGAGTTGAAGGAACATCTGCACAAAGCACTGCAGAGCTTGCTTAGCAAGTGAGTTTCCATGTGCTTCTTTCAAAGGTGTTTCCTTTTGCACTGTGACTGCTGCTGAAATGCTGAAGTTGGGACTGCATCTTGTATTGCAGTTACCAGCCTGAAATTTAATGGATTTATGTGAACTACTTGAGGCTTTTCTGAGTGACCTCCAAAATGTGTTGGTTGAGAGCTGGAATTGGAAGGTGCTGCTTTAGGAAGAGTTGCATGAATGCAGCCGTGCATTTAAGTGGTTCTAGCTTGTTGATACCCTTATGTTCTAGGCTTCCTATGGTTTTTATATGAAAATATTTGCATTCCAGGTAATTTTTTTTGTTTATATATGTACATACGTGAAATCTGAAATGCCTGTGAAACTGTGTTGCCTTTTTCTAATGCAAACTAGAGTTACTGTTTAATCTCTTGATAATATCCTTCCTGCAGCTGTTCCTGCTCTTCTCATCCCACTGATTGATTTAGATTTGTTTTCAAAGAATTCGTGTACCAAGGAAATCAGGAGAGTGCCCTTAAAATGACAAACTCAAATTATGTTTTCCCCACTGTGCTTTAACTCTGTTATTTTCTCCCTGTTGCTAGAGTAGTGCTATTTGCTGCAATTCTTACTAATTTGGCTTTATATTTCCCTGCTCTCTGACGTGCATATAAACAAGTGTTATGGTACAGTAGGCTGTTAGATCATGACACATTCTGGAGTTCAATAAGCAGTTTTCTGTCCAGTGCCAGTTACCACTATTTCCATTAAACTGAAGTCTGAACTTGTCTTTTGTAATGATCTGGCTGAGGACAGCTGCTTTGAAAGCAATGCATCTTCTGCTTTCACTTGGGAGAAAGACTTTGCTGTTATTGACTCTTAGATGCCAAATGATCTTGGAGGAAGGAGTATGGAATTGAGGCATTTCATCATCCCAATTCAGAGAAGCAGGGATGTGATAAATCTAGAATAGAGGTTTCTACTGAAGTATGAATGGGTTTTGTGATCAAAAGTGCTGTATCTTGCAAATAAAAGTTTCAACTCTAATATAATGTTAATGCAGTCAAACAGTCTGTGTTAGTCCATAACCTGTATTGCTTACAAAATTTTACTCTCCATTGGCTTCTAGCTCAGGTATTAATTTCTTACTAGAATGTTCTGTCTTTGAAGTCTTAGATTATAAAAAAAAACATATGCAAGAGCTTAGAATTTTGTAGCATATCAGAGAACCTACTGATCTAATGTCTTTTAAGTTGTAGAGTATCAAATTATTAGGAAGTTCACGTAACCAGTTATATCAAAGTGTGAAAGGTGATGCCTCCCTGACCCTGTCTGCTGCTGGTGTTTTATGTCCTGAAACACAAGACTTGCTGGGTCTTGAAAATTACTTGCTGTAATACACGTGAAAGATTGTGTTCTCTGGAAACTGAGAACTTTCTTTTATTCACATTCCTTTGTTTCCTTTTTATGACTTTGGGTGTTGGTTTAACTTCTTTAGGCCGGTGACGTATCAGGAGTATCGGGAGCGCACGCAGGAGGCAGCTGCTCATGCCAGTGGATGGAACAAGGTACCAGAGCAGTGACTTGCACTTGGATATGTCTCATGTCTCCTTGATGTCCATATTGTTTGTACTAGGTACAGTTGTGCTTCACAGAGGGCCAAAAATAGAAAGAACTTGATTTACTAAATTAATATGAAATAAGTTGCGTTCTCAGAGTGGTAGGTGTGCACAGAGTGGGTAGTTTTGTTGCCCTGTTGTTTCTGGCCTTCTGATGTTGATACATTCCTGTTGCACTTTCTCACACTCTTTCTGGTAAACAATTGTTTTGCTTTCCTCTTTGGAGGAAGAGAGCATTGATTGACATTGTGATGAACCAGTGGAGTCAAGAGATCTCATCATCACTGTCCAATCCATGCTCATTGTTAGATTGCCATAAATAGTCATGTAATGAAAATAAAGTCTCTTTTCCTGCTCAGCTTCCTTGGAGTCAGGTGTGAGTCTTTCTCTCTCTCTGTGTGTGGTAGCAGCACAGCGTCACACAGTTTTATTAATTTTAATTTATATTTTAATTTAAGTAGAAGTTACTGAATGGAAGTGTTCAGTCAGCCTTCCTTTAGTTTGGTAAAATGAAAAGTTACACATATTGCTTGACTTATTTTTTAAATTCCTAAGAGAGGTTAATTCCTACAGCAGTTTTGGAATGAAATCTGAGATAGTTTTTTCATAGTACTTCTCTGTTCTTTCCCTGCTCCAATGTCAGGTTTAAAATATATGTAGAAAAGAGAACAGGGTGAAAATACAAATTGACAGTATCTTCACGATATTTAAATTGTTCAGAAAACGTAGGGATGGTGTTCCTACCTGGTTTCAAGAGTAGTTATCTCAAATGATAGGAATCTTCTTTTTTAAACAAAATGCTAATCTGTAAATGAATTATCTTCAAATACTTTTAATGTAGAATGAGTAGATTACTCTTCCCAGATTCGTCTTTCATTAATCATTCAAATTCATCACCTTGATCATTCTCTGATGGTTTCAGTGGGCATCAGAAGAAGAATAAAAGAATGAAATAACTACTTGCAGATTTAATATGAATTTGAGTGTTAAAATGTAGACTTAAAATAGCACAAGAAATCTTTTTCCCCTTTACATTTTTTTTTCAGGAAGACTTTTCCCTGACTAGATTTCCTTGCTTACTTCAGAAACTGTTCATCTAACCAAGGGTGTGGACACTTGTAAAGCAGTTTAATAGACATTGCATGACAAGTTACTGCCCGTGGCTCCAGCAATTATCATTGCTTTATGTGTGTGCTCTTTCAATTTGTCATCCTGTGATTCACAGCATTTTGGTTTAAACAACCATGAAATCTGATTATCAAGAAGGTGGCTTAAGCTAGCACATTGCACTTTTCAGCTGCTGAAAGCTAAAACCAAACATAAAAGCAGTCACTGTGGCTCAGCTGGCAAGGGAGGAGCTGCGTGGGGCTTCTCAGGTCAGCGTGCTTTGGGTCCCCAGCTCCTGAAGATGCAGCCCTGGGTGGATGAATGGGCTGCATTTGGGGGTTTAGGATCATTGCTGCTGCATTCCAGCTGCCCCTGGGGCTGGTGGGTTTCAGTTCCCATCAGCTTGTGGTGGACAGCATCACCCAGAACATTTTTGTCATCAGCTCTGCTTGCTCGTAGCATTTGTTGCTATAAAACATATAATCCAAGAGCAAACCAGAGTGGAAATTTTGTACCCCAGCACAGCATCTGTTTGTATTGTTTTTCTGGTTGTTTGGAGCTCCAGGAATGCCCAGCAGTTCCTTCAATAATCCTTGTTTTCAGAAGGTGGAATGCATTTGTGGTGGTTTCATTTCCTTTTAATTTCCTTTATCATCTTAATCAGAATTGTGTTTTAGAAGAAATCTAGATACCTTTCCTGCCATCTCAGCTCAGCTTAATTTTTGCTCTAAGAAGCTGTTAGAAAAACATGTTGATGTTGAATTCTATAAAGGAAAAGGATCATCATCTTTTATTTGAAATAAGGCTCTCATTTAAAAAAAAACAAATTCCAAACCACCTCAGACAGGGCAAACTAAATTTCTATAGTAAAATGAACATAATAAAAAACTTTGAAATACTGCACTGCCGAGTTTTTATGCTTTTTGCTTAAAACGAAATATTATGCACATATATCCAAAATGCATAATCCCTCTGTTGTGCATCATCTGACAGGATAACAGATACTGTTATTGAGAGCCAGTTGAACTGGTGAGTAGGGTAGCACTCATCTTAGTGTCCCATTCTTACTGATTAATGGGGGCAAAGAGTAGTACAACAAAAATAGAAGAAATAGTCATCCAAAGAATTAGATTAATTTTAGGTTGGAATAGTCAAAAGGCACACAGAACAGCAGTAATTTTGGATATACCTTCCTCAAAAAAATAGAGCTTCCTCGAAGCCACTGAACTTTATTTGGGGTTTTTTTGGTGTGCATTTAAATTTGTAATATTGTACAATGGGATTGCAATAGTGTAGTGGACACAAGTGTTTCATTTACACAATCAGCTGAATTCTGATAGTAAAGTGGGTTTTATAATGATTCCCTAGAAGTTTTCTCCTGCCAACTATTTTCTGTGTGTGTTTTTCTTCAGTCAAAATATAAATAGCCTGTAGCATTCCTTCCCAGGCATTCTGGTGGAGGGAGTTGCAGTTGCTTTGAATTGCAAAGGCTGTATTTTTACTTTGTTCTAGTTAAATCTCACCACCATTCACACAGCTGCTTCACCTGTACAGAATGGTGTTGTTGACTTTGATGGAAGTACTGTGAGGTAATTTCTTTCAAAAATTTAGGGACAGTCTCGTGCAAACCTTCTCCTGTTCCTGCTGGTCTCAGAGGCAGGGGTGTCAGTAATTTCAGCAGGAAGGGGAAGCTGGGTGGTGTTTGTTGGTCTGTGTGAGTTTGAGTTTGGTCCCTCACTCTGAGGCCTGAGTCTTGCTGAATTTGGGGGGAATGGGTGGATTAGACAGCGAGTTGGCAAAGGAAGAAGACAACAATAATGTTCTCTATGCCAATTTGAGCTCCCTTCATGTCCCAAACAGCTTTTCCTTGCCTTTGTTTCTCTTGCCTTCAGCTTCCAGTAAATGTCAAATATTCTGAGATCTCAGTGCTCATGCTGCTGTAGAGTTATGTGGGTGTGCCCAAGGCCTCTGAGAGATGCCTAGCCTTGACAGCCTGGGGTTTTTTTTGATCCAAAAAGATTGAAGATTCTTTTTGACACCTCATCTTGACCTGCTCCTTATAGCTGTGCACTGTGATCTTGCATCTCTTCTGCCTCTGAGTTGAGATTAATGGCAAGAAACTGAAAAACCCCAACACATTCAAACTTGTGTCACAGTGTCATCCCTAGTGAAGTGCTAACAGTTCCCACTGTTAACTGTTCATCACAGAACGACAGTACTATAACCTGTCTGCCACTGTCTTGGGCTCCTTTGTGAATCAGCTGGGGCATCTTAAATTTATCAGATTATGGACATTTTTTAGGCCCTGTCTAGTTTTAAGTAGTCAATCTCAGTGTGATGCCACCATGAATTTAGTACAAATCTCAATTTCAGCTTACTTTGCCTATTCATCCTCCTCTAGCTTTGCACCCTAAGGTGTGATTTCTAGTAATAGTAATGCAGATGTTTACAGAAAAGAAAACCAGGCTGATGGGGGAAGAGACTGGAAAAGGAAGAAGGCATTAAGAGTTGAGTATGAGCAGTAGTAGAGCTTTCATCTCCCTTGTGCAGCTGGGAAACAGCATTCCAGTCTGCACAGTGAATAGATGTGCCTTGCAGTTGCCTCAGTTAAAATGCAGTAAAACAAATATTTTTCTCTTGTGTCATAATGCTTTTTCAGATGCTAATGACTTCATTCCATACCAGTTTCCCCGACCTTGGCGAGCTGCTGCACATAAACATTGCCCAGAGGGCCACTTGCATGCTCGAGGAGAATAAATTTAGAGTTTAAAAGTTCGACTGCATGTTGCTTAGGTAAACAAAAACAAAATTTCAGAAGCAAGTTTCTAGAACCATATAATGTGAAGGAGGTGGTTTCACGGAGTCTTGCATCTTCCAGAGCAATTTAGGTTGAGGCTGAGCATTCACTTAAAAGGTTTCTAAAGAGGAAAGGGAGTAGGAAATAAGGGAGGAAGATCTCTCTGTTAAATTTGGCATCAGAGGGAGTGTTTGATATGGAAAGGGCTTTGCTTGTCATTTTAAACATATTTGTAATGTTATGCTGCTGGGTGGAGGTGTTTGTTTCTGTCCTGCCTCAAAGCCAAGTGTGAACTTCTAAAGAGACTGTCTAGTGCAGAATTCCTATTCAAGAATGTGTATGAGTTTGCTGTTTGCATTTGGATGTACATCCCTTCAAGCTATTTATGATGTTGCATCTTTCCAGTTCTGAGGTAGCAAGTTCTGGACCTGTTCTGCTTCTCTACCTGAACCCTGTGTTGGAAAAAAAAGTGGGGCTTAAGAAAACACTGCAGTGGTATTCTGTGAAATTCTCAAGTTAGACTGTGGGTTTTTGCTCAGCAGATGAAGTGCTTCTTTTTTAGTGCATTTTATTGTGTTTGCGTTGTGTATTCTCAGAAATGAAGTGTACAGTCCCTGGTGTGTTTGGACTTGAAGATTCAGACCTTTTCTGTGGACACATGAATTCTCTTCTAACTGCACAGTAGTATTGATAATGCTTTCTGTATTTATTCTCAACTTTTGTTTTTTGAAGGTCTTGGTGCCCCTGGTTCTGTTACAACAATTTCTGATGGAGCTGACCAGACGGGGCCAGGAGCCACTGAGTGCCCTTGTGAACTTCGGGGTGACATATCTAGAAGATTATTCTGCAGATTTTATCATTCAACAAGGAGGATGGGTAAGAAGACCTCATTTCTAAGTGTGATCCTAGTAGGAGTGAAAGCTAAGAGGGGTTGTTAGAAGTAAGCAGATGCAAGAAGGTATGACTCGGATAAAGAAATAAAAAAAAAAAATCAGGAGTTCAGGACCAGAAAGGGATCTTGGGCAGTCATCTGTTTCTCTTCTGTGCCCCAAGGCAGAACTGACTTTCAGCCATTCATTTCTGATGTTGATATTAAAGACCTGTGTGATTGGACTCCACCATTTCCCCAGGCAGTCTGTTCTGGTTCTTTGCACGTCTGGTTTGTTGGATTGCTGTTGAAATTGAAGAGGTCCTTAGGTGTCAGATAACAATTAATTTTCATATAGTGTGTGTTAAGGTGGTCGTTTATTGCAGTATGGTGAGCTTTGTGCTTCCCTGTTAATATACATGGAGCACTGCATTTGGAAGCAGACACCCATAACAAGAGGTGATATCTTTTTGGCTCCTCTTTTTAATGGTATCTTCATCCTCTGGTGACTGCAGGGAAAGGTATTTGGGATTTTTCCTCCTCTTAAATTTCAGAGAGTTTCTTATCAGGTAAGAAAAGATAATTAGGGAGCACTTCATACAGAAATGTCAATAGGTACTAATTTATTTTTATAATAAGTGATAAGATAGCTAATGCATATTAGAGTTTATAGCTGTATAGGAACATGCACAGAATAAGCAATCAGGATTTCTTTGTGCTGCATTTTTCCTTGTAGAAATCTTTAATTCATGGTAACCAGTGTTCCTGAGTCATGGCATGCTGAGAAAGTTTCATTTAGAAATACTTCAGAAAGGCAGCTCACATCTGATGAGCTGGGTCTTGAAGGCAGGGCCTAAGATTACTGGGTTTGGGAAGAATGCCAGATTTGAGTGGAATTAATCTGGGATTTGTGAAATGGCTCCAGCAAACTGATTTATTCTACAAAGAAAAGCTGTTCAGGAAAACCCAGTGATAAAAAAAGTACTTGTAGAAAAAAATCCTCATTCAGAAGCTTCTTGCATTTCAAGAGTTTACCTGAGGGTTATTTTTGAAGAATAGCTTGTTCCAGAATTTCTGCACATTTGCACCTTCTTTACTTATTCACTTCCCAGCAGTTGTGGAGAGCAGTTCTCAAGGCCTTTGGGAGGGGTTGTTTGTCTTTAATGGACAGAAGCACTCACAGTATGCAGCCAAATGACCTTAGGTCGTTTGATAAATGCACTCATATCTCAAAGTATTTTCATCGCAGGGCCTTACTTGCAGCTTTTAGACAGATCGATGTTAGTACTTTTTTTGCTTTTTTGCCTTGTTTTTTGACCTCCAAAAGGGCTGTGCTGTGTTCTTCAGTCCCTTTTTGAGGCACTTCATAGAGCACAGAGCTTCTGAAAACAAGCACGGCCTGGGAGGGAGGGGGCTGAACTTTGTGCTTGGGTGGCTGTGCATGGATGTACAGATCTGGGTGCTGGTGTCCTGCAGGCTCCCAGTGTGTCTGTGCTCATCCAGCCAGGCAGAAAATCAGACTGACACAGGCAGTGCAGCAAACAAGCCAGAGCTATTTTTGAAACAGCACAAGAGGCGAGGAAAGAGACAAGGTGATGAAAATCCTTTCCAGATGAATTAATGTAGCTGCACTAACCTTTGTGAGTTGCTCTGGGGATGGGCTTGGGGACCCACTGGGCCTTTGGCTTTTTGTAGAGGAAGGGGAATATATGGTTATATTGCATTTTCCCCTCCCTGTAAGGAAAAGGAATAGGTTCATTTTCACCCCGTGGATTGTTCCTGAGTTTGTTCTGAGTGTATGGGATGGCAGTGCTGGGAGCAGGGCATGGGGCCAGGATGGGAGAGGTTGTGCTCTGAGAAGGGCCAGGAAGAGCCTTGCAGGCTGGTAGCCACAGGGAAGTGTTGGAGTGTTTGCATTTTTTAAGATAAGCATCTGCTACAGGGGCTCTGTGTGCCGGATCAAGTTGTCAGTAATAATTTGCTGGAGCCATAAGGGCAGTGTGTAAACCTGGGAGTCTCCAGTGACTCATATTGCTGTGACTGTAAGAGCTTCAATTTTTGTGTTATTTTGGAGCTGTATGAAGTTAGGTCTTTCCTGCAGCTGCTAAGAGCTTCCTTAAAAGTGAGATGCAAGAATAGCCTGTCTGGTTTTCTGTGGACCTGGAGCAGAGGAGAACTTCACAGGAGTCAGCCTTTCAGGGGCAGACCTGAAAAACTCTGTGGTGTCTCTGGTGCTGTCTCATCCCTTGGCACCATGTAATTTGGGATCTTCCTCAATTTTTGGATTGAAGTCAACCTTTGCCAGGAGGGGAGTAGCCAGTCAAAGGTAAGGGGTCAGCTGAGCCCTTTCTGTGCTTCACTGCAGATCTGTGGAGTCAGAATTGCACAGAGCTGTGTCATCCATTTGCTGCATCATCCTGTGCAGCCACGATGTGGCTGGAAAAGCTGCCAGGGTTCTGCATGTGTGCAACACTTGAGGTTCTCTTGGGAGCTCAGGAGGCTTGTGAGTCCAGGAAAGCATCTGACTGAGGATGGTACACGGCTAACTAGAAGCAAAATTTCCAGCTCAAGGGAATAAAGGTTTACAGATTGGGTAGCTGTGCAGCAGATTACAAGAAATTGGCATGGCTTGTGGGAAATGAGAAATTTGATATACTGGAGGATGAGAAGTTGCCTTTTGATTTTTCCATGCCGGTCCCACAGAGATATGGTGTGAGATGATGTGTTGAAACAATGAGTGTTCCCCCCCCATACCCCTTTCAGGCACTAAAATTGTAATTCAGCTAACTTTTGATGGCAGCATGGGACTGAGATGTACTGGTGGTTGGAGAGGGAATGGCTGGCACATTTGTACGTTCCCTCTTTCACTAATTGCTCTGACAGGTTTGGCTGCAGCTCTAAACAAAATTTACCTGTTTTCCTGTTTAAGTTTTAGTATGACCTCTCTTTTGGAGGAAAAGGCATGCTGGGCATTCCAGGTTGTCTTAAACAGACATGTGAGGACACACATTTCTTCCTCCTGACTAGTGGGTCTGCTGATCCTACTAAGACCTTTTTCATTTATCTTCTTGAGCCATTGCAAATCAATACCCAGCTGGATTTACAAGCAGCTTTGTTCTTTTCTTTCCCAGTAACAGTGTTAGGGGCTCGGAAAACATGCACGCAGTGTGTACAGGCTCTCCCCACCCCTTTCCTCTTCTCTCCACCCCTTTCCTCCTCTCCCCTCCCTTCTCTCCTCCTACCTCCCCTGCCTTTTTGCTCCCTCTGACTTCTCCAGGGCTGGATGCTGCTGCATCAGAAGCAATTCTTGGTCTCCTGGAAAAGTGCACAGTAAGGCCAGTCAGTTGGTAAGGATTTTTTTCCGTCTTCCTTTCCCACCCCTTCCCAAATATTTATTTCTTCTCAAGCTCTGCAGGTCCTGTTTTCTATGGTTAGATTTCATCTTCTTAGAAATATCTCAGAATATCTATTAGGAGAAAAGAGTGTAAGTTTTCTTGGAAGCTAGCTGCCTTTTTTTTCTCTCAGGTTCCCATTCCTGTTACCCACTCTGCTTTCCCCTTGTTTGAACCTGTTTATCAGAGTGCAGTTAATAACCTTTCTTCTCAGCACAAGCCTGGGAATTGTATTTTGACCCGTGGCAGAAATATCTCTGCCTTCCCAGGGGTCTTGTCTCATTGAGTTCAGACCTGGATTTGCATTTAACTAGTTAACTGCCCATTTGGAAGGGAATAAAAGTAAATTTGCTTGAAATCTACATAGTGTTTACAGTTTCCTATCTCAGCCTTAGAGGAGCTGTTTTCTCTGTGTCTCCAGTGTTTTGTCGTGGGCTTTGCAGCTGCTTTAGTTGTTTTCTTTGCTGCTGGTGATTGAATAATACACATATTAGAGAGTGTTAACAACCTGGAGGAGAAAGAGAGTAAAGAGCCAGTTGTTATCCTAGGGAGGTGAGTTAGTCAGTTTGTGCTTCCAGAGATGAAAATCTCCTCCTGCAGCAGTCCAGGTGTCTGCCCTGGGAATGACAATGCAGAAATAGAGACGTGCTCTGCTGGATGGGAGACAGAAGTAAATTTAATGTGATGCAAGAAAGGGCAGCCTAGTTAGAGGAGTCCTAGAAAGGAGTTTTCCTTTCAAAATAATTCTGCTTTATACTTATATCATGGAATACTGCAGCAAAGTGTCCACCTTTATTTATATGTAACTTCTTTGGTACAGTAATAGATTCTTTTCATTTTTAGGCACTGTGGCTGAAGAAGGGCATTAAATAGGGAAGGAGCAACTAGATCTCCTTTCTCTTTTCCCTTCCAACAACTTCAGATCTAAAGAAGTGGTCTAGAAATAACTGAATTTACCTCATTTTAAACCCATAAGACTGAAACCTAAAGGGTGTTGCTTTGGTGCTGACTTTCTGCAGGTTGTAGAGGTCATGTTGGAAGGCAGGGGTGGTAGAGGATGATTTCTGCAGGCTGTTGTAGCCAAAATATTCCTTGAAGGGAATGAGAGCAGTGGCTGCAATATCAGAGTGCTTTGATGTGGTTCACTCGACCTTTTTTTCTTTTTTTTCTTAATAAAAAGTACAGTCCTATTTGTAAGAACTCTGCTCTCTTTTCTTTGGCTCCACCTATCTTGACAGTTTTAAAGGGATGAACAGAGAGGTACAGTAAGTGCCTGGGGGCTTTTTGGGAATGCTTTATATTTTAGAATGTTTTGTTCTGGATCTGAGTGTTGTCAGCAGCTCCTTTATAATCTGTTTCTCTGAAGGATCAGCCAGGTGATGCTGTGTGGTCTGACTTCACGAGGGTCTGTAAAGGTTTGGTATAAAGGGCTGGGCACAGAGACAGGGAGCAGATGGAGCTGCAGCCTGGGCACACCCAGCTGGGAGTGAAGCCATTCCTGGGCACAGGCACCCCTGCTCCAGACACAGCTGCTCCTCTGCCACAGCTACAGGTCATGCAATGAGCACATTCCCAGCTCCAGGGAGGTTTGTTGTTGTGGGAAGTTAGCTTATTTC